GAATAAGCTTTCCATCGTCTTTGTTGCTGCAGCAGACAACAAGTATAGAGTGGTGGTTCTGGGGGCCCCCAGAGGGGCCCCCCTTCTATGCTTGGATGCATTGCTTGGGGGCCCCTGCACGCAGCATCTCTTTCTGCGTTGTACCCTTTAGTTTTATCGGGGGCCCCCTCTAGGGTTTGAGGGGGCCCCCGCTCTGGGTCTTCTTGTGAACTGTACCCTTCCTTCGAGGCCTCTGAGGGGGCCCCCTTCTCCGCTTGGGGGGCCCCCCGCGATGACGCAGTGAGGGCAACGGGGCTGAACTGCATCATATGAAAGTTTTCTGTTTCAGCTAGAAGGGTATCGCGGGGGCCCCCAGGGTACTCGGGGGCCCCCGAAGATTTACCCATAGGGGTACCACTACCTCCAGTACCCAGAGAGGGGCCCCCACGTGCATCGGTATTCGTGCTGCTGCTGCTACTCGTACTGCTGCTGCTGCTGCTGCTGCTGCTGCTGCTCCGCTCAAGCGAGGGGCCCCCCAATCTCTCTGTAGGGGGCGTGAGATAGCCGCATGCTTCAGGGGCCTCAGGGGGTTCGGGGGCCCCCTCATGTGGGTGTTCTTCGTTGGGGGCCCCCGGCAGGGGGGCCCCTGGGGGCCCCCCATCAGGGGCCCCCAACGAAGTTTTTTCACTTCTGGTGGGTTCGTCAGCACGAGTACCCTTTGCTCCCTTAAAGGCCCTTCTTATCCTCGTCATGGCTCTGAAGCTTTTGTATAGGGCCCCCAGTACCCCTTCTGCTGTTTCTCGGGGGGCCCCCCTGGGTACGGGGGCCCCCAATAGGGGGCCCCCAGATGGAGGAGAGGGTACTGATGGGCTGCAACGCTTTCTTGGCTGGCAGCGGCTGCACCGGAGAGGCAGCAATGCATCTCTCGCTCCTGCTGCTTCTCCCCCTGCATCTGCTGCTGCTGCTGCTGCTGCTGCTGCTGCTGCTGTTGGGGGCCCCCCAGTAGTACCCCGAGAAGGGCCCCGGGGGCCCCCAGCCAAGCTGCTGCTGCAGAGGACCCACCTCT